GCGGGCTGTATTGGGAGGCAATGGGCGCATTTGTTAGACTTATTGACTACAGTACCCCTCGAGGGGTACTGCAGACAACAGTACATATCACATTTCTCTTTTTTCAATATCAATTCAGGGACTTATCCCCAAGGCGGTCTCGCGCGGCTCTCGCAATGGGCGCATTCCCCCTTATCCCTCAGGCGGTCTCGCGCGGCGGTCACCACCAAGTACAGTACTCAGTAGGCGTGTGCACCGCAAGTGCGGTACAGTGCCTCCTACGATATAGTGCTATAGCGTGACATACCTCTAGCTATGGCACTATTGGGGGGATGGCACTATATAAAGGAGGCTCAAATACATACAGTATATTTGGGGACAAAGCACACTGCTAACACAAACACAACAAAGCCTGTATAACACAACTAAATAACTTCATCCTTTGAGTACTGAACCATGCCGGATGATACACGTGTGAGCTTATGATAACCTGTGCCAGAGGGTGACCCATAGCACTATATAGAGGAAAGCACTACTAAAGTAGGCACTATTGAGCGACCCCCCCTCGTAATGTTATGTTACACCTCTCAAGACCGGGCGGTGTACTGTATGCATGTGGTACGTAGCCGCGTCGAGATGACGGGGCACGCACTGACACTTTGCGACTGCGACGCGGCAAAGCTCCGACGGAGGCACGAAAGAGGAAAAAAGAAAAAACAAGAGAAAAAAGAAAAAAGATACGGTTATCATAAGCATACACTCTGCAACTGCACCCCAAGTCCACAACGCCATCAACAACACCAAAACACTATCTCAAAAAACAGCCCCAAGCTACAAACTACACATTTCTACAAGCACCGCACCTCCAAATCGTCCACCATGTGGTGATGGAGGAGCAGTTCATTGATGCCGAGCTTGCGTGCCTTTCCGAGCGCCTTGTTGGGGTAGACGGGACACACGCCGCGCTCCTCGCCAAACCCGATGTAGTACCGGATCCCCGTCTTGATAAACGACCCGAGCGAGTTGCCCTCGAGCACGATCTCGCCCACGTAGATGGACATGATCTGCTTGCGGTGGAGGCAGAACGTCGCCCCGAGCTCGTCAAAGTACATCGGCTGCGTGCCCAGCTTGACCACCCCGACCTGCACGGGCAGCCGAATCAGCTGCCCCTGGATGTACACCTTGCGCTCCTTCTTGCCCTTGTTGTACAGGTAGTAGTGCACCCCGATCGTCGTCACGCGCCGGTACACCTCCTCGTGACTGATCGGCCCGGTGTACGCCAGGTGCCCGAACAGCTCGCTCACCTCCTCCGTAAACTTGAACTTTGCCGACGCCCGATAGTTGAGCCTGACCACCGACCCGATCTCCAGCTCGCGCGACGACGAGCTCGCCCCGATCGACCGCAACGCCTCGTTGGAGGGTAGCCTGCATTTCACCACAAAGTTGGCCATGGCCGAGTGCGTCGGCGTGCGCGACGCGCTCGACATCGTGCTCAGCAGTTCCGCGGAGAGCCCGGTGCTCGTCGTCTCGGACGTCTGCTCGCGCGTGCTGGACGCCTGCATCTGCTGGTCCACGAGCTCGGTCAGCCGCACGCGGCACAGAATGCACGAGCAGCTGGACCGCCGGTACGTCAGTTCGTGCCGCTGCCGCGGGTGCGTCCCCGGCTGGAACCGGTCGCCCAGCAGCAGGTTGCACCACGCCCCCGCTACCATCCGCACCCCGGCCTGGTACAGCCGCCCGCTGCTCAGGTCCCGCCGGATGATGTCCAGGTCCGAGTCCTCGGTCGCCTGGTGTATCACGTAGGAAAACGCCGCCCCCGTCGTGATCGGCGTCTTGTTCATCAGCCGAATCGCTAAGTTGTGCGCCTTGGGTCCGAGCGTGTTCTTGAGAAACCGGAGCAGCACCTCCTCCCCGCGCACGTCCTGCGGGATATCGCGCGGGTCGTCGTGCTGATTGGACCCAAAGTAGTGTGCATCCTGCGTGTCGTCCGTGCCCGTGGTGGGCGAGTGCGCAAACTGCCCGCTAGACGCGGCCGACGAGCGCGGGAGCGAGACCGCGGGGTTGCTAGACCTGCTGCGCCTGCGCCTGCGCCTGGGCAGCAGTCGTGCGACGAGCGTGCTCCTGTGCGCGGGGGGCGCGGCGCGCGGCGCGGAGTCGATGTAGTGGTGGTACACGGGGGCGGTGTCCGCTGTGGCCGGCGGGCGGTGCGGCACGAAGCTGTCAAGCTCGGGTGCGGCGACTGGAT